TGAAAAAAAGGTTAACATTTTTGCCATGATTTTGTACTTGCTTTGTCTTCATTCTTTCTTGAGGTAAATAATTAATAGAAGGTACGTGTCTGGTGAAAAATTTAGAACCTGATTTATATTATAATTAAATTTAACGAATAATAATTAACAGTTGAGGTTTCGTTTTTTGTATTATCAAATCGTAGTATTATGACTGGGTATAAGAAAAATATTTTGTTTTTTTTTAAATTATGTTAGAAATATATAGTTACCTATAACTTACAAGTTATTAAACTAACCCAACTATCAACTAATAACAATATTAATAACAATAATAAAACATTGGTAGTCGATATGTACTAATTTGAATTCGATAGTATAAATCATTAGGTATGAAAAATATTTCTAAAAAATAAATGTATATTATACAGAGTGTAACAACTAACAGAACGACCAAACAAACAATTTTTTTTCTGCTTGCACTGTATTTATTCTTTCTTACGGTAAATAATTAATAGAAGGTACGTGTCTGATGAAAAAATTTAAAATAAGCATTTAATTTAAGTATGGTTGGTATTTTGAACACATGGATCAATGTATCATGTTTCATCGTAACATTGAGTATTATATTTCTTAAAACATCTGTTTTTTTCTACAAAATTGTTTAGTAATTATAGTACAAAATTCTCACAATAATGGAGAAAAATAAAAGCCGAAGAATAATAAAATAGAGACAACTATTAAGCTCAATGCGTCGTTGTAAAATATATTGAAAGCCATCATGTCTGCCAATTGAGCTAACTGGGACGAACAAGTTAAGGAGTTGGAAAAGTATCTTAGGTACCTAAGACACGCAAGCACTCAAACACCCTTCAAAGCGGTCCACGGCTACCGTGTTGCCGGCGATACCTACAGAGGGGCTGAGGTGGACTCGGACAGTCAGGCGGACTACATAGCTCATGCCACCACCGTTCACGTGATTAAAGCTTGCTTACGCCTCTGATTACCAACTGGACTAATGTAGTTATGCCCTAACTATTGTTTTGCTTGATTTCTGTGTTCTGTGCCACATATCATTTGCTATAATATTTTTTTTTGAAATTTTTTATTTTTGTTCTTTTGTATTATTTTGTAAGTCGTTCAACCAACCGACTCTTCGAGGACGATCTGATGGACCAGGGAAGATCGAATGTTAGCGACAGGTTTTTTTTTTGATTTTGTAATTATGATTGTTATGGTCGTTGCACTGTTGTGGCCCACACTGATCACACTGCTTACGGGTCCGTAGGTTTGGAAAGGACGATCGCACCGCGGCGTCATTACGTTTTTTTGCGATTGACCAGCGACGCCGTCTCGCCATCGCGTCAACGTATATGCCATAAACCACGTTTTTAGTTCAATTGCATTTTTGTAATACCCACCCGTTTTGGCGTGTGAACGCGTGCCGTTCTCAAAAGTTCGCTGTTAAATTTATTATTTTGCACGAAAGTGCCGTTTACTAATTACACCGTAATATTGACACGGCTACGGCGGTAGATGTAGATCGCGGTGAGCCGGTCTTGAGGTGGTTGCAAACCAAGGAAACAGAAAACAGTAACTACTTTAGCGGGACAATTGGTTCTGATTTCTGAACCGTGACAGGGATTGTTTGATCGTCGGCGTTCACCACCATGATCACACTGTCCCTATCGACTGCCTCTGTGCCCACCTGTGGCTTTACGTGCGCAGACTGACCTATTGCGGGGATAAGGGCGGTAGGTGCGCTTGTGTCCCCGTCACCTGTACTGGTGAACACCCGTGTCCCTGTTGCCTTTGTCCCTACACCTGCGGCTGCCCCATGAGCCGGCTGTGGTTGATCACACGTGTCACCGGTGAGGTGAGTGTGATCGGTGGTGGGGTGGTGTAGGTTGGGGGTCTGTGAACAGGTGACGATAGGTGGTGACACGGAGAAAATGGTTGTAGTCGGTTGTTCACTGTGTTGAACTTCCGTACTACACGCTTTCTGATATTTTTCCCGTGTGTACTACCGAGGATGTGTGTTGGTGGATGGGGGGGGGGAGGTGGTGAGTCGATGGGGGGACTAGTCCCCGTCGAATCCCCCGCCGTTTCCCGACCTGGACGGTCGGTGAGGGCACTTACTGTGCCAGTTGAGTTCTCCACAGAACTTGCACGGCCCCGGTGGCTGGTCATCGAATGAATTCCCAAAATATTTTTTTTTGACCGGGGGGGCTGTTTGTGGGGTGTCCGGCCCCTTTTTGGGCTTAGGCGTCCAGCGTTGTGTGGGCGGGCTGGTGCCGTCCGTTGCCGGATCCAAAACGCCTGCGATGCGTCTCAGCTCGCAGAACGTTTGTGGTCGGTGCAAACGGAGGTGCGTACGGAACGTGTCGCGTGCTAGCCCGGCGATAATACCCCTACCAATTCCGGTTCGGATAGGCCGGTGGTTGCGCGGCGTGCTAGCCGATTTTTATTTAACACAAATTCCGTTAATGATTGTTTGGGCGTTTGTCGTGTTGACACGATGTCGGCGCGCAGTTGGGATTGGATTTCGGCGTTGTTATAATTTTCTAAAAACTCAACCCTAAATTCTTCCCAGGTTAGGTCGAGTACTTTTATGGATGCATACCATACACTCGCCGTTCCTTTTAACTGCGGCTCGACCGCCCTGCACCATACCCGCGGGGTGTATACGGGCTCGCACTAAAATCGCCTCGGTATTTTCTATGAACCTTACGGGGTCCTCGGCTCTTGTTCCAGTGAGCTCGGGTAACGAGGCTCTTGATGTGCGCAAGTCCTCGTACGGCATTAGTACCGAACGTTCATGTGTGCCTGCTTCGTATGGTGTATACTGTGCGGCGCGTGTTGTGTGACCCGTATAGTCGTTCTGAGTTTCGCGCGTGAAGAACACGGTCGGTTGTTCGCGGCGGCAATGTGGCTAACGCTGTGTTGAGCGTCGCCGTCATTGTGCTCATATGACCTGCCCGACTGGTAATTACCGTGCAGTGTACGGGTTGTTACGTGTGCAAGCGAAGCAGGGTGAATGTTTATCCGCGGGGCTGTGTTATTGTGTGGCTGTTGTGCTGCTGCTAGACGTGTTTCTGTAAAGTAACTCGTCATGCTTGCCTCCAGCGCCCGTAAACGAGCCTCGAACGATTTTGAGTCGCTCGTTTGTGGCACCGTTTGTGTCAACAATTTTAACGGCTCCGCCGCGGTTTTAAACAGATCGCTCTCTACCCGATGTGCGGACTGTACCTGTCGCATGGTCGACTGATAGCCGCAGTAATCCGACAGGTTATCCGTAGGTTTTTGACTTGCTATCGGGCTTGTCAAAATACCCCCCGGACGGCTGTCCGAATATCTGACTGGCGTTCGTGTCTACCAGCGTTGCCGAAACGTCCAGCCGTTCTCCCGTACCGTCCGTCAATATGTTGATTGACGGTTGCACAGGATAGAACCTGACGTTCGCGGGGTCCTGACCTCTCTACCAAAAAAATTCCTCGAGCCTGATAATTATGTCCGGTTTAGGGCCGGACAAGCTTATTCCCCGGGCCGTACACTCGCTACGTAGCTCCGTCGTCGTCAATTGTAGCAACGATTTTCCTGACATATTGTATTTATTTCGTAATAAAGTTACAAATGCGGACGTTATGCTATCGCGTAGACGGTAACCTGTGCTTGATATATGAGGCGGGCGCTCCGAGAAAATATGGTCCGAAACTTGAGCGAGAAAGCGAGAGAGATAAAAAAACTAAACAACGTTACTTTAATAAAAAAATGTAAATTTGCGCGATGTTTCGATTACGCTCGCGCCAATGATAATCAGCTGTGCAGCTGATTGTGGAGTCGCCGGTACGGTCCAAATATAGCGTAACTAGGTCAACGTACTCGGCGGCGGCGGCGGCTTACGACGACGACAGCGATACCGGTTTGAGTATTCTTACCCGTACGCTGCGCTGTTATCTGCGGTAAAGTGGTAGTGTCCCGGGACTGAAAGGCAAGTGTTCGGAGGGGTTGTGTTATATAACGCTATCGCGCTGTCTTAATTATTTCCCACGGCCGTTTCGCGGTTATTCGCGGTCGCGACGGAATTCCCCTTTCGTGCCAGAATACTTCTTACGTATAAATTCAAACTCGGGTATCCTAGCTAACCGGAAAACACAGACCTGGCTAAAAATACCTTAATAGTTAATACTAATAAAATTATAAATTTATCCGAGGTACCTATGTGTCAGCGTGAATAAAATTCTTACCTTTGCGCTGACTGCAAACTGGAGGTGATTCCTCTGCGGGGAGCCAATTGACACGGCTACGGCGGTAGATGTAGATCGCGGTGAGCCGGTCTTGAGGTGGTTGCAAACCAAGGAAACAGAAAACAGTAACCGACGAAACGACAAAAAAACGACGATCACCGGTTCTGGTGTATACGCGTTTATTTAGACGACGAATAAACACAATTGCGTGCACGCAATGAAGATGTATGTGATGTACGGTTCGATGGTGAGGTAATACGGCGATCGGAGGTGCTGGCGTGTGCGGTCCGACGATCGGCGTAAGAGAGCGACCCCGTCGCCGCCGGCCGGTGCTTGTCCAGCGCGACTTGTCTTCCCGTCCCGCCTAGCCTTTGTGGCGTGGAGGGAGAGTCGACGGTGTCGCGCCGTAGTCACCGGCCGTGGTGGTGGTTGATAAAGTCGTAGCCCGGTCCCGGCGGTGCCTGTACTTACTACTTAGTACTTTGTACTGGCCGCTGCCGCGTACCGTGTCAATATACACCGACTACGATATATCTGGCGGTACGTTCGATCCCGACACCATCAGCTTACAATATTTGTAAACAAAATATTGTGTAAGCCAACAACACGTAAGTATATTGTACACGTGAGTACAAACTAACAAGTTCAATCGGAATAGTGTGTTCAAATATTTGTCGCGGCCATACCCTTATATACAATATGGGCAGCGCATTCCGGGTTAAGTTTTAAGGTTAAGTTGCCATCTATGTTTTGGCTAGTGTGCCAATACACGAAAGGGCGTTCCACTTCAAACATGCCTACTTTCATTGGCCTTACATTTCAAGTTATTGCTTATTGTTTCTTGTTCGACTTCATTTTATTTCCATGAAACGCGGTATTGTTGTGTTTTACAATATAATGTCCACGCGACATTCTCGTTATAAAATACTTTTAAATTTGCTGTGTAACATCGTTTTAGTAATTAATGTAAGGGAATTTTCGTGAACTAATCTAGTATTTATCAACCATTAAAATTAATTTTACCCTTAGCTATGCATTTTCTCAAAGGAATTAATTTCCCGCACTCCCGTAAATTATGAAACCCAAAGCCGGATTTACAGCTACGTCATCGAGGTCATCTCGATCTAACCATATAGTGATTTTACGTTACATTTTTGACATCCTAAAATAAAAAAGTTTCAACCGAGTATACCGAGAATTGACTACAGATCAAATTACCAGTTGTAACCATAGTTACTACTTACTACGCCCTCAAAAGGCAAGACATACGACGTAGCTGTGGATTTGGCTTAAGGGTGAAAATATATTTTAATGATATCGTAATGTGATCACCTAATTTAACATGTTTTAATACGGCCCTTAGATAATACAGAAGAGAAACTATAACAACAAAATATCGTCCAAACATACATCAATAGTCAATTGAGGCAAATGTACTGCCTCTTATCAAAATGGACATTGACGCGTTAAGATTTTCCCTGTCTAGGACAAAAATGGCTTTCCTGTCCTTGCTGCATGTGACTTATATATATTACCACGGCGATGTAACAGGTGCTGCGTCGGGGATCATTGACTTACCCGGAGATTAGATACTTAGCCATTATGATTTTATCGTAGTCGGCGGTGGATCGGCAGGTAAAAATAATACAATATACTTATTATCTTATAGAAGTACAATATGTACTTCCGTAGCATTTTTGTATCGAAGTAGTGTCAATAATTCCTTCAAGGTTAAATACTAAATTATGTATATATTAAATACAAACTCAACAATGATTACTCAGGTGCTGTGCTGGCAAATAGATTAACCGAAGTTAATGGTTGGAGCGTTCTTCTAATAGAAGCTGGTGATTATGAAACGATTCTAACAGACGTGCCTGCGTTGGCAGCCAACCATCAACTTTCCAAGATTGATTGGAATTATACTACCGAACCTCAGGATACAGCTTGTTTGGGTGAGTACAGTCATATTATTTAAATGTTGTGCTCATTTGATAAACATAGATTTTAAAGTCTTGTAAAGTTCTTTCATAGTTTGTAAATGAAACAAATTATAATGTGATGGTTTCCTAAAATATGAAATGTACCCACAACGAATAGGGTTTAAAGTTGTATAAAATGTATTTAGGCTATTCTATAGTATAATCATAAAAAACAAAAACGGTAATTCATACATATTTTATATGCAATATTTTTATTATATAATAATGTATAATTATATTATAAATTATTTTTAAAATTTTTTTTTATTATGTCTCTGGCGTATATTTTGATATTATAAGGATATTGTACAGATGTCTTATGAACCAACTCTTCATATTGCTCACATATAGAACATAAAATATCCAAATGATATATTTATCAAGATATCTATTTTGAAATATTTCAATAATATTCTAAACAAGATATATTTTCAATAATTAAATGGTAATATCAAAGAAATATTAAATTCTTTTTATTTTGTGAATATCACATTTGTAAAATATTATAATTTATAATTAGAATAATGTTCAAATATTTATCTAACATCAATTTATTTATGTTTAATAAATATTTCTTTTAATTTTATTTTAATATGGTACCTAATAATATATATATTTTTTAATTATAAATTTAATGTATGTATTATAAAAACATAAACTCAATTAGTACATATATATAATATATATATATATATACATTAACATTATTAACTTGTTTTTAAACAAGAATCATAAATAGGGAACAAGAAGTTAAAAATAATTATTACAATAAATAAGAAGTAATAAGTGTGATTTGGATTTATAATATTCTAACTGTTAGGAAAATCATGAACATTATAATAGTATTTCTTCTGTTTGTAAGGAGTTACTGTCATCTTTTGCTTGTTTTTTATTTTCAATTCTGGCTTTAGCTGTTGTTAACCATTTTCCAATGATTGATATTATTTCATCATCTTTTATGATTTGGAATTTTGATTGCTGTATAGTATCTAAAATACATTATTATAATATTATTATTTAGAATTAATAATTTCAATAGTATTATTACCAAAAATAACTTTGTTGATCAATAATGTAGAAAAATTATATTTATTTCTCAATCCAAAATATGTGAAATCTTTTAATACAAAGTCGGAAAACACTTTTTTCATTATTTTTTGGATCATATGTTTAGCAGATTTTCCTCCGCTTCTGAGCAACTCAAGTTTTTACATTATTACATTAAGACATAAAGTTAACATATGCATTGTAACAATAACATATGTAACAATAACATTGTATGGTACCATCTTAAGAAGAATTAAAGAATTAAAAAATGCATGTTTTTATTAAAAAATTAAAAAATATGTATTGAAAGTATAATAATAATTATATATTTTTTTAAAGAAATTAAAAATTAAAAAAAAAAAAAGAAAATAGTTTTTGGAATGAGTTATGGATAGAATCAACCTTTAGTATGATATAAATTTACTTACAACTTTGTTTTTAAAATCTTGTTCATAAGCTTGTAGTTTTATTTCAAAATCATTCAGTTCTTCGTGGTTGGATACTGGCCAAGCAGTCATAAAATAGTCTATTTCCCCTGTCCATGAATTATAAGTAGTATTTATAGAGTTTGAATTGTTGATCAATTGAATAATTTAATGTTGAGTGTCGGATATTTTAGTGATTTCAACTTTCAAGTATGCCAAGTAGTCGAGAATAGTTTTTTGTACAACTGAAAAATATAATGTTAAATATACAGTTTCATTTTTTATAAAGTCACTTAATCATAATTATTTTTGTTAATTCATTAAAATTAAGAAAAAAAAATTATGTATACAATTATACAGAAAAAAATCCTTACATGTAATCAGCTATACACACCTTTTCCAATATCATTTTCAACCATATGTGATTCATTATTTTTAATTGACTTATTATTAACCTCTGGTATATTCAAACTGTCAATCGTTACTATTTCTTCATCAATGTCAACATAAGATAATTTTGTTTTATTTTTAATCTCTGGAATGTATTCATTATCCTTGTCAGAGTCGTAGTCAACTGAATTACTTACTATAAACAAAAAATAAAATAAACAATAAGTGCTATACAAAATACTGTTATTAGTAGGTATAGTATTATAAGTATGTATACACTATAGATTTAGTTATAGGTACAACAATATAGTAAAATGCTTACATGACAGATTGTCATCTGAATCTGACAATGATGGTTGTATCCAGCGGGGTTGTACCTTTGACATCGCTTTCTTATTATTGACTTTTGTCTTGAATTATGTGTTTGCATTATAACCAGGACTAATTTTCGACTTTTTAATACTCATAAAAGAAGGAACTATTAAAATTTAATACTTAAATTAGTTAATTTACTTATTATTTTTAAATCAAAATTAATAACACAAAATAAAAACATATTTAAACACAAAAATAACATACGAGTTTCAGGAATTAAACTTATTGTCTCAACTGCACCATCGTTGCATTTGCGTTTTTTTGAAGAACCATAATCAGATATATCTGATGTGTACTGAGCTATAAGAACTTTTTCTTCTGCTTCTATTAATGTTTCTGTACACAAGTCATAGATATAATTAAACGTTAAATTAAGAACTGTATAGAATATAGGTACACTACACAGATTCACAGTTTCTGTCCACTGCTTACAAATAGGATTTATATAGGTATTGTAAATAAAGTGATATTTCTTTTTATTAGTACTTATTGATTATACAAAATACTTACTAATGTTATTTGAAAGAACTCTTACACGATAAAAGTTAAGCTCAAATTGATTTGTTTTGACGCAGTTGATTCTTAATTTATGTATGTTGTGACTGTTTTTGGGCCAGGCACATTGATCATTTTTAATCCAATGCACAGGATCACTTTCCACACTATTGTCGTCCAAGACATGAACTATTGCCCTCATTTTTCTCTAATATGAGATACTATATATTATTATACACCTTACACTAACATTGAAAAATGAAACATTTTAAATTTTGTTGCACGCAAGTCGTTTCGCCTGCTGGAATACCAGATAGGCAACTTAAAATGCACAAAGTGTAGAACGTGTCATATTTGTTTTCATATAATATTATGATTCTAGCAGAACTGTTGGGTAGTTCAACATCACATTTAAACTAACGATTATCATAAATTATATTCTCTATAATAGCCGTAAAAACTAGCTAACGTATTGAATATTTTATAATTATATAAATAAAAAAAGGCATTTAAGTGGATGTCACTCTGCTGTACATTAAGCGTCTAAGAGGTCGCTGTAATGGATGGTATTAAATTTGAATTTAATGATATCATGTATACGAAAAACGCTGCTGAGCGGAGATTGTATGTCAGTCTAGGATATTTTATATTGTTATTAACTATTGTTAATATGGTAGCCGGTAAGTTCAATTAATATGATTATTGAATTTTCAGGGATGCTGGAAAATATTAAATATAATTATGTAAAATTGGCTGTTTTGGCATCGAATTACAACGAAAAAATGTAACGTTAAATAACTTAAAATGTATGTAAAAAATAACTGTATTCAAATATTTTTTAGATTTTTTAGTTGACGAAAAACTGCATAAATGGGAATATGTTTTAAATTTCCATTCCCTAGCTATAAAAATTGAAAATTTTATAAATGTTTAACTACAAAAATATTTTCAATTTTCAATTTGATAAATATTGTCAAAATTTGAACTTTAAAAACGTATAAAAATCTTGCCTATGTATGTTTAATATTTTTCAACTGCTATTGTAACAATATATCAAGAGTTGTATATTAAATATTCATGCATTTTGACCCAACAGATAAAATTGAAATGCCATTTATAGATAAAAAATGAAAATTGAAAATGTCGGTCAACAGCTTAAAACTAGTCAAAATATTTTTTTAAATGTTACCAAGTATAAGAATAAATGAAGTAAACATATGGTGTCAATTTCAAATGTCTACGGTAATTCGTTTTTGAATTACAACAAAAAAAAAAAATCGCTACAAGAGAAATCGAGTGAATATCAAATAATGTTGTAAAAGTTTAATAACATTAAACGCTCATAAAACTTTAATTTGACTTTCCGGTATTTTCAATCTTAGTGATAAACAGAAAAATGTTTATGAATTTCCATCTGATTTTAAATTGCTAATTTTCGTAATTTATACGAATTATGTCGAAATTCTAAGTTTAAACCTTCATAAGAAATTATTGTGAATTTACACTCAATTTTTTTTTAAATTTCCATTAACAACTTACAAGGAACCTCGTATTAAATTTTCAAGTTTTTCGACAAGCGAACATTTTTTTATCCACTTTAGTTTCAAAAAAAAAAACAAATAACAATCGAAAATCAAATATGCCTATAAATAGTTCAACACGGACATAAAAAAAATGACACATCATTGTAAAATATACAATATACATAGATACTTACTATAGTAAGTATATTACTAAATACTACCAAATTTTAAGGCCCTTCATAATGAACTATAAAAATATATACATTATAGATTTATAGAATAAAACTTTCACACAAAAAACTTCTCTTTGATGACATTTTTTTGAGAATCAGATTTAAATAATAATTCAATTTCACAAATTAATGACATTGTTAGTCGATATGCTCTATAGTGGGAATTAAGCAGGAAACTGTAATAGATGTTCTAATTTGAATTCGATAGTATAAATCATTAGGAATGAAAAATATTTCTAAAAAATACATGTATATTATACATAGAGTAACAACTAATAGAGCGACCAAACAAATAAAATTTTTTTCAAATTCACCGCGAACTTTGACGATAATTGTATACAAGTAAAATTAACTAAGTCAATAACAATAACCAGCGCAAATTAATTGGCAACCAAATATTGACTATTGGATTGGCGTAATACATTTTTGGTTCAAACAAGTATTAGTTACTACAATGTTATTAATAAATTAAAGTTAGACATTATTTTATAGAATAGTTGACGCCAGACACATTCAAGATAAGTATATAATTTAAGTATGATTGGTATTTTGAACACATGTTTCACGGCATCAATGTATCATGTTACATCGTAACATTGAGTCCTATATTTCTTAATATATCTGTTTTTTTCTACAAAATTGTATAGTAATTATAGTACAAAAATGTCTCAAGAATGGAAATAAAATAAAACCCAAAGAATAATAATAAAAATAAAACACAGAAAACTATTAAGCTCAATGCGTCGTTGTCAAATATATTGTAAGCCATCATGTCTGCCAATCGAGCTCACCGGGACGAACAAGTTAAGGAGTTGGAAAAGCATCTTAGGTAAGACAAGCAAGCGCTCAAACACCCTTCAAAGCGGTCCACGGCTACCGTATAGCCGGCGATACATACAGAGGGGTTGAGGTAGAATCGGACAGTCAGGCGGACAACATAGCTCTATGCCACCACCGTTCAGGTGATGAAAACTTGCTTACGTCTCTGATTACCAACAGGACCATTGTAGTTATACCCTAACTATTGTTTTGCTTGATTTCTGTGTTCTGTGCCACATATAATTTGCAATGTAGGCTATAATATTTTTTTTTGTTCTTTTGTATTATTGATAAGTCGTTCAACCAACCGACTCTTCGAGGACGATCTGATGGACCAGGGAAGATCGAATGTTAGCGACAGGTTTTTTTTTTGATTTTGTAATAATGATTGTAAAGGTCGTTGCACTGTGTGGCCCACACTGGTCACTCTGGTTACGGGTCCGTAGTTTTGGGAAGGACGATCGCACCGCGGCGCCATTACGTTTTTTTGCGATTGACCAGCGACGCCGTCTCGCCATCGCGTTAACGTATACGAAATAAACCACGTTTGTAGTTCAATTGTATTTTTGTATACTCATCCGTTTTGGCGTGTGAAAGCGTGCCGCTCTCAAAAGTCTGCTGTTAAATTTATTATTTTTTACAAAAGTGTCGTTTATTAATTTCACCGTAATACACTCCTACTACGATATATCTGGCGGTACGTTCAATCCTGACACTAGCTTACAATATTTGTATATAAAATATTGTGTAAGATACATGTAAGTATATTGTACATGTGAATACAAACTATTAAGTTCAATCGGAATAGTGTATTCAACTATTTGTCGTGGCCATACCCTTATATACAATATGGGGAGCGCATTCCTGGTTAAGTTTTCAGGTTATGTTGCCATCTATGTTTGGCGAGTAATGTCCACGCGACATTCTCGTTATAAAATACTTTTAAATTTGCTATATAACCTCGTTTAGTAATTAATGTAAGGGAATTTTCGTGAACTAATCTAGTATTTATCAACCATTAAAATTAATTTTACCCTTAGCTATGCAATTCCTCAAAGGAATTAATTTCACGCACTCCCGTAAATTATGAAACCCAAAGCCGGATTTACAGCTACGACATCGAGGTCATCTCGATCAAACCTTATAGTGTAGCTGTGAATTCGACTTTAGAGTGAAAATATATTTTAATGATATCGTAATGTGATCACCTAATTTAACATATTTTAATACGGCCCTTAGATAATACAAAAAAGAAACTATAACAACAAAATATCGTCCAAACATACATCAGTAGTCAATTGAGGCTAAGGTACTGCAACTTATCAAAATGGATATTGACGCGTTAAGATTTTCACTGTCTAGAACAAAAATGGCTTTCCTGTCCTTGCTGTATGCGACTTATATATATTACCACGGCGATGTAACAGGTGCTGCGTCGGGGATCATTGACTTACCCGGAGATTCCATACTTAGCCATTATGATTTTATCGTAGTCGGCGGTGGATCGGCAGGTAAATATAATACAATATACTTATTATCTTATAGAATTACAATATGTACTTCCATAGCATTTTTGTATCGAAGTAGTGTCAATAATTCCTTCAAGGTTAAATACTAAATTATGTATATATTAAATACAAACTCAACAATGATTACTCAGGTGCTGTGCTGGCAAATAGATTAACCGAAGTTAATGGTTGGAGCGTTCTTCTAATAGAAGCTGGTGATTATGAAACGATTCTAACAGACGTGCCTGCGTTGGCAGCCAACCATCAACTTTCCAAGATTGATTGGAATTATACTACCGAACCTCAGGATACAGCTTGTTTGGGTGAGTACAGTCATATTATTTAAATGTTGTGCTCATTTGATAAACATAGATTTTAAAGTCTTGTAAAGTTCTTCCATAGTTAGTAAATGATACAAATTATGTGATGGTTTCCTAAAATATGAAATGTACCCACAACGAATAGGGTTTAAAGTTGTATAAAATGTATTTAGGCTATTCTATAGTATAATCATAAAAAACAAAAACGGTAATTCATACATATTTTATATGCAATATTTTTAATATATTATATTAAATTTCAGCTATGAACGGTCAAAGGTGTAATTGGTCCCGGGGCAAAGTTTTAGGCGGATCCAGCGTTTTAAACAATATGTTGTACGCACGCGGCAACCCAATGGACTTTGACAACTGGTTGAAACAAGGTAATGTAGGATGGGGGTACAACGAAGTGCTCCGGTATTTTAAAAAATCGGAGGACAACCAAAACCCATCCTTGGCGAGTACCCCGTACCATTCGACTGGTGGCTATCTTACGGTGTCAGAAGCGCCGTACAAAACGCCATTAGCCGAAGCGTTCAACACGGCCGGACAAGAAATGGGATACGATGTACACGACATTAATGGCCAACGACAAACGGGTTTCATGGTACCACAAGGAACCATCAGAAACGGTTCGAGGTGCAGTACTGCGAAGGCATTCTTGAGACCGGCTGGGCTTCGAACAAACCTTCACGTGACCCTCAACTCGCATGTCACACGCGTTATAATTGATCCTATAACAAACATCACGTCCGGAGTCGAATTGATAAAGAATAATATTAGGTATTACGTTCGGGTGCATAAAGAGGTGTTGCTGTCAGCGGGCCCTATTAATTCTCCACAGCTACTTATGCTCTCGGGCATTGGTCCTGAAAATCAATTGTCAGAATTGGCTATACCCGTTATTTCCAGTTTAGACGTCGGAAAAAATCTACAAGACCACATCGGGCTTGGTGGTCTGATGTTTTCGATCAAAGAAAAGGTGATACTATATTAATTAAATATAATGAAAATATTAGAATGCCAGTGCTTATACTGACACACTGCAGTGAATTATAGTGTAACCACATGCTCTTTCGTTTTTTCTATAGATATCGCTAATGCATCCGAGTACGAAAAATGTCAATTCGGTATTCGCCTATGCGTCGGAAGGCAAAGGTCCACTAACAGAAATGGGCGGTGTAGCAGGAATTGCGTTTGTCAATACAAAGTATGGCAATAACCGACCAGAAGAGCAACCTGACATCGGGTTGAACTTTGTGTCTGGTTCAACCGTTTCTGGTATAGATGGATTCAAAACGTGGAAAGCTCACGGGCTAAAAGAATTTTTTTATAAATCGATGTATGAATCGATTCGCAACACAGCCGTTTGGTCCGCTATGCCTGTAAGTAAAATGTATTAAAAACAAATTAAAAACGAAAATATACACTCGAAGTACATTAAATATGATTTTATAGTAAACCATACTCAACTGAATCACAACAACTAATAGGGTGTATATTTCATACACACATGAAGTCCTTATTCAAAACATTTTCTGCTTACTTAAATATTTTTACAAAGATTTCATAATATTGTATATATCTTCAGATATTGTTGAGGCCCAAGAGCCGTGGCGAAATACGTTTGAGGAACACCAACCCGTTCGAGCATCCCATGATCTTGTCCAACTACCTGACGGCCAAGGAGGACGTGGACACGTTGGTGAGGGGCATCAAGTTTGTGATGGCCATGGCCGAGACCGATTCTTTCCGCCAGCACGACAGCCGCCTGCACGACGTACCGTTCCCCAGTTGCCAGACCTTGCAGCGACATTCGGACGACTACTGGGAATGCATGGTCCGGCATTACACCGTGTCCACATACCACCCAGTGGGTACAGCCAAGATGGGTCCAGAGGGGGACAAGACCGCCGTGGTGGACCCAAAGCTCCGGGTGTACGGCGTTTACGGACTCCGTGTGGTGGACGCGTCCGTCATGCCTACACTGGTCGCCGCCAACACCAACGCGCCGGTCATAATGATCGCCGAGAAGGCCGCGGACATGATCAAGGAAACATGGCGTGATGAGATACAGCAAAGTGTCAACAAACATGATATCATCACAACGCACGCGGAGATATTAAAGGATAAAAATATATTTTAATTTTTTTTTAAATCCATATATTTTTATAATAATTATTTAAGAACATTTCAGTCCACTTGAAAGTACAAACTTTTATATTTATTTTTTAGTCACATAAATATGTTTTACTTTTTTTATAATGTATTACTAATATAATTACGCATTGTGTTCAATATAATATATAAATTTTTTAATTTTTAATTTTTCATAAAGTTTTTACTGTAGTTATTAGATACATTTTAATTTAGACATTGGTGGTAGAGAGTTTAATTTATTAATCAAAATATTATGTTGAGATTAGACTTCAAACCAAAACCAAATCAAAATATGCATTAAAATAGAATAACATTGAATGTATAATAATATTGTTACAAATTTTTTGAATGTTATTCAGATTCCATACTGTATTGCATTGCAGGTAAATTTCTTAACGTTGTAATAAAATAAACATAACTGATTTTTTTTTATAACTTGTAATTATTTTAAAAATTAATTTATACATTATATTTCTACATCATTATTTGTTAATATTATATATAAAATAGTTATTTTCTAATAAACGCCTCGAGTTTTGTAGGCTGGAATAATGGTATATAATATTTTAATACGCACTAAAATGTATAAAAATATGACATATAATATGCAGTCAAAATCGTAAAAATATGCAAAGAACTTTTTTTACACATATTTCATCGATTCTGAAAATATTTGTTTAACACACTAAAAAAAAATAGTCGCGGTAACCATTTAAACAGTTTATATAACCCTAGATTTCAAGTTAGCATAGCGACAACTATTAATTTAGTTCTTATTACCACTCAGGTTTAGGTGTATTTATTTAGCTATAAACTACTTGTCCAAAATTCATTTTCGGTGTATCGAAAAACTCTAAAAATATTATGCTTTCGAATAAGGAATAAAATTACACGTTATCATTTTAAAAATTAAAAAAATAAAGTATAGATAGGTAGCAACGATAAAAAATAGAAATACTTTTTTTTAGTGAAAAATGACTGTTATATTTTTTTAAAATAATATGTGTCTTGCTCGTTAAATGGGTCACTTGTACGAAAAACGATATTGAGCGAATATAATTTGGCATTCTATACAACATTACTATAATATGCCTACTAAGACGTTCTACGATATAATATTATTTACATTGGTATGATAATAGTTAATTGCACTATTACTAATACGCTTAGTGTGCGGGCCTTCTGCTGTGGTCGGTACTCGGTATCGCCGTTCAAAAACTGACGAACTACGTTGCGCGTGTTGTGTAATATGTGTATAATTTGTGTCTAATGTGTGTTTACAAATAACTTTGAATAAACAAATGGTAACACAGTTGCTGATAAAAGATGAGTTGCTGCATAGTATAATATAGAATAATAATTAATAACAGGGAATATAAATAATCACAGCAACAAAAATTTATTAGATTGTAATATAAATTAATCTCAGCTTTATGGCTAAACACAGCACCTAAATGATAATAGTGTAGTTTAATTACAGCTAATAGAGCTGGCGCCGAGTAGTTATAATTTAATACAAAAATAATAAGCTGCCCAACAAAATAGAATTATAACATAATATGGCCTTACTGGCCCATCAGTAAAGATGATAATATATAAAAATGATCTGCAATCAATTGCTCCTTTCCCCGATGATACAATATTATAAATTATAATAAATGTATGATAGTGCACTGCATTTATGGCTTACAAAATAATGGTTAGAATTTTGTGGCCCAACAAGTAAATATGTGAAATAAATAATAATAAAAACTCCAATGATATTCGGCACACTTCTGGTCAGCTGCTACCTATGAATAAAATATAATTAGACCTACAACATTAGAAGTGGTGATTTACGTCGACGTAGTATGCGGTAGCCTTTCAATTCATTGAATTTAATCTAAAGGCCGGAGCACACAGAACGCGGTCCGTCACGGCGGGATGTGATACCAAATATGTTATGTTACATATTAAGTCCGAAATTGTACATTTTCCAATTTGTACAGAGATTTTTGTACACATCGCAAATTGTACAATGTTACTAATCAGTAGTAATCAATTTTCATCTTGTGATGAGGTAAATATATTAAATATTAATGATATACCTAGGTACTGATAACATTTCTCTGAGATCGGCAAGTACGAAAGAATCAGTGTTTGAAGGTCAAGGGTTTTTGAAATGTTTTTGTATACGGAAATATTATAATAATAAATGTATATGTAAAAAAAAATGTATTATGCGACTCACGCTGTCATAACTCACTTGATTGTAAAAATAAATAATGAATCAATTCCTAGTATGTAAGTACCTACAATGGTTTTATTTTGAAAAATGAAATGAAATTATATTTGACTTTAGTAATATTAATTATTTTATTAAGAAAAGACTTTTGAAACATAATTGTTATTATAGGTTTGCTTATTTATTTTATATAACAGTGTGTACTCTGATTATGTTGACATAGTAAAATGTAGTTATTTATAATAATATATTTTTATATGAATGATTGTAATTTTTTGAATATGTTTTTAAATGTTGTGATTTTTTCAATAATTGTAGTAAACTAATATGTAAAGATTCAGGTACATCCATTTTTTATAAGATATACTAATATGTAATATTTATTTAAACTATAAGAGACGATATTAATATACTCTTATTATAGATTCAAGTATTTTATTTTATACAAAATATTTATTTTATGTACATCACAATGGGTACAGTGATTATTGTACACATCGCGAATTAATGTATATGTATAATGTAACTTGTACAATCTAATTACTTCGTACAGTAACATTGTACAATCAAAACATTCTACAAAAATCTCTGTACAAATTGCGAAATGTACAATTTCGGACTTTGTGTGTAACATATATATGATTATCTCGACGGTCGAGATCAAATTCTGTATTTAATTACAACCGGACCGCTGCCCGCCGCGACTGATCGCGTTCTATGTGTTCGAGCCTTAACACAAAATAATATTATAAAAACAATAGACTTTTCTGGCGCTCACAATTATAAAAAAACAATATCTCTCTCTATTTTGTAGATAATATATTTTGGCGCCCGCCGCTAGTGAGTGCTATCGTGACATCGTTCAGTGCTATTATTTTACTCTCGCAGCCTTCGCGGTCGCATGCGATATCGCGATGATTATCTACATAATATATATAACTCACAAGACACTTTCAATAATAGTTATTACAAAAAAAAAAACAATACAACGTGATTATTGTGATTACTTGTGCGCTTCGGCGGCAACACTTAGTAGTACACAATATAATCATGTACTTAAATGCACGTAAAATGTTCAAGTTTCATAAAAAAAATTCGTGCATAAATACTTTTTTCAATTGTTGTGTTTCAGTAATAACCATTTATGAAGAGCTTTGTAGATATTCTCTTTTCAACCTTTAGATATAAAAATTGAATATTTTAAACGTCTCTGACAACAAAATAATGAATATATCTTTGGAATTTTGACAAATTGTGCAGATAACATATGAATTTCAAACACTTGTAAAAACAAATTGTTTCCAAGAGTTTTCAATATGTTTAAACTAGCTGCCCCGTCACGGCGTTGCTCGTTTATTATATAGCGATATAAAAAAACCCCTTTCCCCCGTTAGAGGTTGAATTTTGAAAAATCCTTTCTTAGTGTGCCCCTACATTGCTTAAGCCTCTGAATAAAATGTCAAGTCTCAAGACCGAGCGGTTTGGTCTGGACGTTGATGAGTTAAATTGGCGGTCTCCTATATGTTTATTGATATCTTAGATTTTATTAGTTCAATTGAAAAATATTTCGTTAAGTACCTATAACAGTATTAAAACAAATAAATAATTAATTTTTTGTTTAATTAGCTAAAATTACCCGTCTTCGCCCGAGTGTAATTTTTGCTTTCTCACAACGAAATTCTTAAATCAACACATGTTGTTGTGTTTTAAAGAAGAAAATAATTTATTTTACTTAATGCTATCAAGTGCCAAATATTTGTATTAGCTGAATTAATAAAACAAAAATACGAGTAATAACAATAATAATAATAATATTTACAAATGAAGCTGATCCCTAGGGTTAGGGTAGCACTTCGTTGCTCTTTAAAAATGTCAACTCTATAAGAGACTCGCGTGTGATAATGTGAACAGTATATCATCAAGTAGGCCATCTACCTGCGGTGAATTGCGGCCCCCACTCTGTATGAATAATATGTTTAATTTTAATTTTATTAATTATTTTGATTGTGTTCATGCCGATGAGCGGCTATAAGTGTAACTCGGCCGACAGCCACCTTGGTAGGCAATGTACTAAAATTCGATTTGATGCATTCTTAAACCTAATCTGCCCAATTAACCAATGGCAGCCAAAAAATATTTATATTTATATTTATTTTTTATTTATTAAAATAAAACTGCTAATTGTATACGTATACACGTCATGTCACATGTTGTATGACACGGCGGCCCGAGCGTGACTTAAGTTTGTTTAACATTTTTTAGTATGATTGCTTAAACGAGTTGAACTAACCATGATGAACAAACACTCACTGTACAATTTTTCATTCATCTTCCGATTGGTTCTACTGTGAAATGAGCAGTAAGAAATTATAATTTAACTGTTTTATATCATAGAAAATAGACAATAGAAGATGGATCTGTTTTAAATGATACGGAAAAATCGTGGTGCCTCGACTAAGGGAAATAGGTATTTATTTTTATATACATAGATAGTTATAGATAGATTGTAGAAT